AAGAAGAAGATATAACAATTACAAATATATATGCACCCAACATATGAGCACCTAAATACATAAGGCAACTGCTAACAGCTATAAAAGGGGAAATCAACAGTAACACAATAATAGTGGGGGACTTTAACACCTCACTTACACCAATGGACAGATCATCCAAAATGAAAATAAATAAGGAAACAGAAGCTTTAAATGACACAAGAGACCAGATAGATTTAATTGATATTTATAGGACATTCCATCCAAAAACAGCAGATTGCACTTTCTTCTCAAGTGCGCACGGAACATTCTCCAGGATAGATCACACCTTGGGTCACAAGTCAAGTCTCAGTAAATTTAAGAAAATTGAAATCATATCAGGCATCTTTTCTGACCACAATGCTATGAGATTAGAAATGAATTACAGGGAAAAAAACGTAAAAAACACAAACATATGGAGGCTAAACAATACGTTACTAAATAACCAAGAGATCACTGAAAAAATCAAAGAGGAAATCAAAAAATACCTAGAGACAAATGACAATGAAAACATGATGATCCAAAACCTATGGGATGCAGCAAAAGCAATTCTAAGAGGGAAGTTTATAGCTATACAAGCCTACCTCAAGAAGCAAGAAAGTAAACGAATCCGGTTCTCTACTGGCCCTGTGCTGCCATAACCTGGACCTCCATGATTCTTTTACATGTGAGAGAAACTAACTTCTATCTTGTTTAAGCCAAACACAATTCCCAACTGATAGACCCACTGTCAACCTTATAAGTAGGCCCTTCTAGGCTCACCCCCAACGTTTGCAGGGCCTAGGCCAAGAGCAGAGGTGGGAGCCCCTAGCTTGTAGCCCAATCCCTTCTCTTCCCAACCCAGCTCTGTCTGCTTTGTGTGGACATCCAAGCACATGCTTCTAAGCTCATCCCCAGGTCAACACTGCCCCTCGGCCACTCTTCGGGTCTATGGGGCACACACTTCCCTCTAGGAGGACAGAGCCTGGGAAAGGCTGCTGTAGGCTCTGAAAGTGAGCTCAGAGCCACTTGGGCAGGGAATTTTAGGATCCTAGGACCCTAAGGCACAGTCTAGAAGTGGGAGGAGGTTCCAGGTGGCATGCACCTTTGCCCTGTGATCTTTTCACCCTGCAGGGAGAAGCATGGCCCTTGAAGGCACAGGGGCCAGGGCAGGGACCCGAAATGCCACAGTCTAAATGTGATACCACTGGCTCCTCTCCCTCTCACCTCCTAATGCCTGCCTTTTCATCATTCACAACTTGACAATAGAGGGAAACCTGAAGTAGTCCAGTTAACTACTTGTAACAGCCTTGGTAAAGTTATCTTTTAGAGGAAAAGCCTGGAACTATAGCTTGAACTGTGCTGTTTCCCTGTTACCCTTAATGCTGCTATCTTCTCTCTTTTATGAGACTGTATAATGGAAAGCTGATCAAGCTTGGCTCTCAGGCAAGCTTGTCTTTGGTGAGCTGTCATTAGGATGGCCACGCACTGTGGATCAAGCAACTGCAATACTGGTGTTGGTGTTCTGACTGAAGGAGGAGTCTCCAGATCCTGGGTCCTTCTCATTTACACATCTGCCTGTTTGAGGAAACTCTCCAAGTGTTTACCTGGGTCTCTTTGTACAAACATTGCTCCCTAGGAGGGAGTGGAATCAGCAACAAACCCTGGCCACCAAAACTGGAACAGGGACTTTTGCCCTAGGAGGACTACAGAGAAACGGATCGGAATTGTGACCAGGAGAGGGACTCTCTAAGAGGTGCCACTGAAATGGCCCAGGACTGGGTCCCAAATGAGCTGGGCACGTTTCTCTGTTTTTCAGGAAGCCCCCCACTCAGCCTAGGATAGCAGGGACTGAAACCTGATATGACAGTGCCACTGCTGATAGGATCGACCACTCCAGCTCCCACCCCTATGTGCAAGGACTTATTCCTTAAGGAATTTATCTCCTCCACATGGTCTGACTGTCAGGACTGGTAACCTGGCTTCATGAACATGAAAAACACCCAAATGGCCACAGTATCGTTGTGTATCTTGGAAGCTCTCTTCCTTTAGTTCAGTAATTCTAAGCCTCATTTTGGATTACGGATCTCCACGTTCTCTAGGCTGGATAATTACCAAAGGACATGAGTGTCCACCCACACTGCAGAGAACTGTTGTAGCTCCTTTCAGACAACGAGGCATAATCCAAAGGACATTGAGCAAATAATCTGAGATGTAGGTACTTGCTATAGACTGATGTTTGTGTCCTCTCCAGATTTGCATGTTGAAACCTAATTCTCAATGCAGTGAGGGCCTTTGAGAGGTGATTAGGTCATGAGGGTGGAGCCCTCATGAATAGGATTAGCGCCCTTATGAAAGACAACCCAGAGAGTTCCCTTGCCCCTTCTGCCGTGTGAGGACAGAGCCAGAAGACGGCTATCTGAACTAGTTAGAGAGCTCTCACCAGACACTGAATCTGCTGGTGCCTTGATCTTGGGCTTCCCAGCCTCCAAAACTCTGAGAAATAAATGTTTGTTGTGTAAGCCACCTAGGCTATAGTATTTTTGTTATAGCAGCCCAAACAGACTGACAGAACTTCTATCCCCAACTTTCTATTTAAATTTCGTTTATTAGTTTTTTCAAGGGAAAAATGGAAGGCATGGGTTAACTGATTTGTAAGGTCCCTCCTAGCTCCAAAGTTCAATGGTTCTATATAGTTCTATGAAATGAGAGACATGATAAATATCCTCCTCCCCATCTATTCTACCCTATTATAGCACTCTTCTCTCTAAAGCATAATTGTCTGTAAGTTAATTTGTGGGTTCCCTGCTAGACTGTAAATTCTGGGGGAACTGAGACCAATCTTTAAGGTTGTATCCTCAGCACCAATTTCTAGCAGGAGCTCAATGATATATAAGAGATGATAATATGAGTGAGTGGTTTCTGATAGCTACAATCTCCTTTGGTTACTGGACTGGAGATGAAAGATGTTCTCAGATAACTATTCAAGGAACATGCCGAAATAGCCTTTGTTCTTCTGCCTGCATTTAGTAATAGTCTTTGGATGTAGGTACCATGAGTATACACCTAATGAATCAGATTACCATATTTTTTAAAGGGAAAAGATGCAAAAAAAAACCTCCATTTTTTTTGGTAAGAGAAACCCAGACTATTATTCTCAGCTTCGTTCTCAGGAATAAAACAGAAGATCCTCTGCCTCTTCATCTGAGATCTTCAAATTAATCTAAGGTCTGATTGTCCCAAAGCATTACTAATTGTATAGCAACATCATTTATATCACAAAATTGGAAATGACATATGTATCCCATCACAGAGTGATGGCTAAATAAACTATGACACTCAAATGGTGAGCCCATGCAGCCTTTGATAATGGTGCTTACAAGATAATCTGAAGTTAAAAGTCAAGACATAAAATTACATGAGCAGTATGACTGCCATCATGTAAAATATGTCAAATATACACATAAAATATAGAAGGAGATACTACAGAATCTGAACCGTGGCTGTGTTTGTGTGTTAGCACTGCGCATGAGTTTCTTTCTACTTTTCTGAATTTTGCAGATTTTCCTCTTTTACTCTCATGGTGAAAAATCAAAATCAACAAATCATTTAATTGTAAATTGAAAACATCTGCTATAAAATTTTGGCTATTGATACTGGTTGCGTCCACCTGAAAGAGCTGTATGGAGGAGCACAGAGAAGACCCTATGCTGAAGCCAACAGAAGCAGGGGGTGGAAAGACAGGGAATCCTCTGGAGTTGCCACTGCCTGTGGAATAAGAGACATCATGGATCTAAGCTCTTACTATATAAATGCCAGACATTTCTCATACATTTTTTTTCATTATGTCCTCATAAAAGCTATAAGAGATAGGTACTACTGTTATTCCCATCTTACAGCTGAAACTGAGCCTTAGAGCGAGTGTGAGCCTTCGCAACCTGTCCCACCATCCACTGAGGGGAAAATGAGCACATTTCTCAGCCATACTTCCTCTCGTGCAAGGATCTCTTGTGTCAAAGGCACAGCCTCCATTTCCATTATTGGGAGATTCTGTTTGGAATGAGTCCTCAAATGACTCATGCCTGTCAGTGGAGGTGGTGTCCAGTGACCACTTGTCCACCATATTATCTCAAGGCTCTCACCAGAGTGTGATCCCAAAATTGTCCCTCTTTGCACATAAATCCATTGCTTTGGGGCAACGAGCCCATTTATAAATGCTCTCATTGTGGCCAACTTTACAGATCCAGCCCAACATGGATAGAGCCCAGGCCAGCTCCCTAGTTAAAACGTGAACCATGGTTGCCCTCCACTTGCCAGCATGATAACAGGCAAGCTTTCACCATGTGCTTGTTGAACATAGATCCACCCTGCAGATGCTGACGGACTGAATATGCTCAGCTGACACCATTAGTGCACACAAGCATTTTGAGGCTCTTTGTTACATGGTCACGTTTTCCCTGCACAGAAACCTACTGGTGTTACCATTTCCAAGGGTGGGGGGAGAGGAGGCCCCACTACAAGAGAATTCAGGGAGAACAGAGCAGGGGACCTGGCGGGAGTCCAGTCCTGTTGAAGTCAAGTGTGTCACTAAAATAAGCAAGTCCTCTCTTTCCTCCTCGCTACCCCAGGGAAACATGAATGAGCAAGCGAGGACAACTACAGAAACATTCCATGAAATCAGTAGTTCAGGTGGGTCTGAAGGAAATGACAAGTGGGCTTAAAGGAAATCCATTTCAAAATCAAGTTCAAATTCAAAACAAATGTGTGAACAGGGGAAAACGTAATGATCAAAAAGGAATGAATTTAAAAATATACATATATATAATAAAAAATATTAAAATAAATAAAAAGGAATGAATAAACAGACGGCAATCCTAACAAGAAGACCCAATCGTCAGGGTAAGTGCTATGCGGAGAACTGCTTGGGGATATTACTGCACCCCATTGTGCCCTGTCTCCAGGTCCTGTCGCTCAGGGACAATCGATGGTGTCCGTTCACTTACTTTCTCTGGAACCGGACCACAGGATCAGCCAGCAGGTCGGTGACGTCAAGCTTCCTCCCCTTCTCGATAACATCCCGATGCTTGCGGACAAACAGCCACCCGATATGGGAGAAGAAGAAGCCCCGGCGGGCGTTGTGGGGATCAGCGTCCGTCTCCGAGTACTTGTGGTGGACTCGGTGGTCCCTGGACCACTCGAAGATGTCGTTCTGCAGAGAGAATGCAGACCTGAGTGAAGGGCTAAAACACCCTGGCACCTTCCCCAAAGCTCCTCAGCCTCCCCTCCTCCCGCCCCACCCCCTCCCCTCCTCACTGATTTATACTTGCTCCCACCCTCAACCGCAATCTCTCAACCTCAAGTTCAATCGCTGGGGGTTGGTCTGGGGTGGTTTTCATCCAAACAAGAGTATATCCTCACTTAGTGAGGATCTTAGCTTGTCTTTGGAATGTGCCCACTGCAGGAGGTTCAGCCTTGTTGAGTGAACTAGTGGGGAAACCTGAAGAAAGTTCTGGTTACCGAAGTCTCCTGGGAGATCGTTCATGTCAAGAAGAGAGACATCTGCCCTCAAGTTTTGGTGGTCAGAGGAGAGGTGTAACCTTGAGTATGGAAGGGGGTTAGTTCTTGGTCTGGCTCTCTCTGCCCTCCCTCCCCCGCTTTGATGGAGTTCATGTCCAACACACAGCAAAGAGGAAGTCAGTAAGTAAAAACGCGAAGAGGTACTTCACCAAATTTCTGCAAAATACCGAGGCACAAATAATATTGTTTGAGGACTGCTCTAACAGTGTGTCACAGAACGGAGGGGAGGGGACTTAGGCTCCTTGTGGAATCTGGTGTACTTGGCCAAATCTACAACGTGGAGAAGCAGCAATGCCTGAGGGGCAGGCGGCACTCACTGGAATCCCAAGAGAGACTCTGGTGCCCAAGGAAGGAGAAGCATCAGAGTCCAGCAGACTCTGCCAAACCCACAGACAGGGTGGGGCTCAGGCACACATGGGGGACCAGCCTGTTGACCCTCTGGTGACGGGAGAGAGTGACAGGAGCTGGAGGACCTGCGTGAGCTATCAGGGCAGCATTTCAGCTGACACTGTTAATGAAATCTTAGCTATAGCCATGGGCCAATGAGACCTATAAACTTTCGATGTATACTCAGATTTGGTTTTATCTGATAATGCTTTCAAAGCTTTGAGATGACAAATTAGGTTGGGAAGTAGTGCTTTTGGTAGGAAAATTACAGTTGACCCTTGGACAGCACAGGTTTGAACTGTGCAGGTCCACTTACGCACGGATATTTCTCAATAGTACTTCACGGTCTGCGGTTGGTTGAATCTGAGAATGTAAAGGAACTGCAGATAGGAAAGGCCAATGATAAACTATAGATGGATTAACCCCCAAGTTGTTCAAGGGCCAACTATAATCTGAAAATAAAAATAAATATACATAGTGTATAAGCTCTTTTTTTTTAAAAAAAAGGTAATAATGTTTTATACCATACTATTCAGTACTTAGTCATGCTTTCATTAGGAATCTGCCATTTCACAGATATTGGCTTCTTCATGCTGATGAGAAGAGAGAGAACTGTTTTATCCTCAAAGTTTTAACAGTTCTTTTAACCAAAAAATATTTCACGGAGTTTTTTGTCTCTCTGGCTCAACCAGTGCTGCTGGAAGGCAACTCAACCTTGTTCATTTTATAGCACCATTGAAAACTTTTAAAATTTGCTTAACCCTTGGGTAATGGGACAGAAAGAGGGAAGGTAGAAAGACCTTAAGAAGTATATGCTCAGCTTTGAATATAAAGAGGGAAAAATGTGCTTAGCAATCTGTGTAAGGTAAAAATTGTAGCCTGGCTTACTGCGATAAGAAAGAGGTCTTTAAATTTTACCAGTGTGTTGAAACACAGTGGTTGGAAAGAGTGAAAGCATTTATTATTTATAATCACAGAATCTGGAGTCTGGAAGGAATTTCAAATGTCAAGACCACTGCAGCCCAAGGAATAATTTATTACTTTTGCATCCAGTTTATTGCTTTTATTGCAAACCCAACTAAACATAGGAAGGAGGGGGAACACTCTGTCCCTAGTCCACAGATGGCAAAATTAAGGTTTAGAAGACATGTATTCAAGTTCATCTAGTAAGTCAAACCAATAACAGAACAAAGATGGTGCTCCTTCGGTTCTTAGTTCACACTCGTTTCCACAAGATATTTCCCTTATTCTTCAAGTTTAGGGGAGGGAGAGTCTTTTAAAGAGAAAACTCTAAGTGGAGAGTTCCAAAGGGCTAGAAACATTATTCTCATAAAATTAAGCATGATAGAGCAACAAAAGAATGATGATGAAGACAAGATGGAACAGAGATATTTCTTTATTTTAATCCCCCTTACCTGAATGCCTTCCAGACAGAAGCTACTTTGACTGAAGCAGTGGAATGAAGCAAGGATTTGGGCCACATTCCAAATAATCGAGCATACAATCGAGCCAAAAATACTTTAAGATGTACTTTAAAAAATCTTTTTTTTTTTTTAAACTCTAAAGCTGAGTCCAGCGAAAAAGTGACTCAGAGAACAAGATGTAAGACAACAATAGGGCCGAAAGGAAGTAAGATTCACATGGTCGTCTCTGGGCCCTCTTCTTCCTACTTATCTGCATTTTGCTTCTACCCTGAGGCGATTGGGTGTGGAAGCCAAGCTGGGAAGAGCATCTGTGTTTGATGAAAAGGTGTGTGTACCGAGGGTGTATTTAGTACAGTCAATGTGTGAGGAAGGGAAAGCTGAGGGCCGACAAGAGATGGTGACCTTCCATCAACGAACTGACTTGTCAAGTGTGCGTATTCCGCCTGTCCGTGCCCTGCGTGCGCATTTTAACAGGGGCATGATGCTGGACTCAGCAGCAACCTGAAGCCTAAGTACGTACACTTTCTAACAAATCAATTAACGAATGATGCAACTTGCAACTTCGAGTTTGTACTCAATGGTTGGTTCTGGTAGATCACGCTCTTAATACCCCATTGCCTTCAATAGTGGACACTCGCCCTGTGTTTATTGATCACTCCTGAGAAAGAATTGTTGTGGTGAAGGGAGCTACATTAGCTCTAAGAGCGCTAGCTGTAACTGAGGCACAGGCAGGGGTGGGGTCGGGGGAACAGGAGAGGAAGAGGAAGACAGCCAATCAGGAGTATACCCCTCAGTGGCAGGTTTCATTACTCAAGAAGCCATACCACATCCTACTTTGTGCTGTCCAAGAGAAATACAATTGTGAGCCACATATGTGATTTAAATTTTCCTAGTAGCTACACTAAAAAAGTGAAAATAAACAAGTAAAAAATCAATTTTAATCATATATTTTTCCTTAACATACTACATCCAAAATATCACTCAATATATTATTAGCATAAAATCATTAATGATATATTTTATATGATATTTTTCTGTACCCATATTTCAAAACTGGGCTTGTATTTTACAATTCCAGCACACCTCAACTTGGACCAACCACATGTCAAGTACTCAGTAGCCACATGTGGCTGGTGGCTACCATATTGGACAGGGCTAACCCATGGTTTGGATACTTTTCTATATGTGTTATACTTTTAAAGATTTTTAAAAATTCAATGTTGAGTATGGGTGGGAGGGAGAAATTGGCACAAACCATGTGAAGGGCAAATGTGCTACATGTGTTAAAAGCGCTAAAATTGTGCAATTCGTTTTCTGGAGTTTATCTTAAGGAAATAATCATAGCTGTGTGCAAGTATTTAATCACAAGGATGGTCATTGAAGTGAAAACTTGGAAAAACCCTGAATTTCCACATAACAGGATTTGACTTTGTACCTTGTGATACATTAGTTAATTGAACTCTGTGTGTGTGTGTGTGTGTGTGTGAAATATTAAGAAAAAGTCTTAGGGTTACCTTAGGGGAGGTAAGACTGGGAGGCAGGAGAAATACTTTTACATTTTATTCTATACTCAGAAATTTTTAACAAGAGCATCTGTTGGTTTTGTATTTAAAAACTCACAAAAAGGGATATTGTAGTATTGACATGGAGAGATGAGGTAGAAGGTAGTTAAGTGAAAGACAGTTTTCAAAATAAAAGATGCAGTGATGAATGCATTCTTAATAAAAATACGTATTTAAGCACAGAAAAATTTTAAAGTATAAGTCAACATGTTTACAGTTGTTCTCCGTAGGGAGTGGGGCAGTGGGTGATTTTTAATTTTTTCTTTCAGTTTGTCTGTATTTTCTACATTGTTATAATGATCAAGTTTTTCTTTTGTAATATGAGGGAAACATTATTTTTAAATTTCTATACTCCAGAATCAAAATAACCCAGCTTCTGCCATCAGCCCCAGGTTAGGAAAAACTATGAAGCCGTAATATTCATCTAGTAATCCAGTCAGTGATATATCTTTTTTCTTTTCTCTTACCTTTTCTGCCTTCTTTTTTTTTTTAATTGGAGTATAATTGCTTTACAATGTTGTGTTGGTTTCTGCTGTACAATGAAGTGAATCAGCTGTATGTATACATATATCCCCTCCCTCTTGGGCCTCCCTCTCATCCCCCACCCCATCCCGCCCATCTAGGTCATCACAGAGCACCAAGCTGAGCTCCCTGGGCTATACCACAGGTTCCCACTAGCTATCTGTTTTACACATGATAGTGTATTTATGTCACCCTTCTCCTATCTTCGTTCTTATTAGCACTAACCAACCAATCACACCGCAACCAGGGTGACAGTGCCCTCACTTAAACCCATCCTTTGTGTTGTACCTCTATTACTTCCCTCTCCATCATAGATAATATCCCTAAATGGGATCCCTGCTGAGACTGTAGAAATTGAAATTGATCATGTGGTGATTTTTCTCCATAAGCACAGCCTTTGTGTATTCTCTGGGACTTGAGCAAAGGTAATCAATCTCAAAAGCTCCACTGAAGCAGATTTTGAAGCAACCCACTCTGTCAAAACTACTCTTCCCCAACTTCCTTTTATGTTCAGAATAAATTCTTGAATCAAGTCCTTTAAATGGCAGTAGGGGAAACTGTCTTTTAAGGCCCACGTAATTTGCTCTGGGTAGCAAGATGAAGGCCAAGTTAAACAGCATTTAGCTTGTCCCAGTCAACAGATCTGAAAGCAGAACCAGTGACTGGCTTTCCCCTAGCACAGCTGCAAACAGTTGCTTGCTTCTGACCAGACACCAGTGTGGTTGTTCTGTCCCCTA